TTTAGCTATATGTTTCTGCAGCATGTTAAATGGTATCTGCTACAACTTCAGAACATTATCTTATTTGGAAATAGGCTCTCTGCAGATGTAATTAAGGATTTCAAATGAGCTCTTATCTTGGATGGACCCTAAATCCAATGAGTGCTGTCCTTACAAGAAGCAGACAGGTCACAGAAACAGAGTAAATAAGACCATGTGAAGATGGAAGCAGAGATTAGAAGAACGCACCTACAATGATGAAATACCAAAGCTCAGCTCACCAGATGCCAGGAGAAGATTTGAGATAGTTTTTCAGATTATCTTGCCTGTAATCCCAGTGGCTAGGGAGCCTAAAACAGGTGGATCTCAAATTCAAAGCCCCCCCTCAGCAACTTAGCAAGGTTCTAAGCAACTTATCGAGGCCCTGTCTCAAAATAAAAAACAAAAGTAGGAGTGCAGCTTATGATTAAGCACCCCTGGATTTAATTCTAGTACCCATTCCCCAAAAAAGAAAAAAAGAAATGATAAACTAGAAATACAAAAGCAGAGTATTTTGTTATAAAAAACACTCAACAGCCTATAATTAACCAAAAACAATCCTAATTTCTCCTGTTACCATTCCTATCACATGACTACTCCTCCAAGATAATAAATGAAAATTACTTTGTAACAATAGGAACTTCCAAGTTATTCATGATTATGTTGGCTATAATAGTATACAATTAAGTTTAAAATTAGTTAAGAGCCTTCAAAAATCTCAAACCATGCATAAAATAATTTATTAAAAATACCTTATATTTAAATTGAACTTTTATATACTATATACATTTTATTTTTATGATTATTTTTCTTTATACACATGTGTGTGTGTGTGCGCACATGATACAGGGTCTTGCTAAATTCTTTAGGGCCTCACTAAGTTGCTGAGAATGGCCTCAAACTTGTGATCCTCCTATCTCAGCCTTCTGAGCCATTGGGATTAACACATGTGTGCCACCACGACTAGCTAATACATATGTACAATTTAAAATAATTTATTTTTATTTTCTCCAGAAATTTCATATCTAATATCAGAATTCATTGTTCAAAAGAGTCTACAAGTAAAGGCTTTTGGGACTAACTAGTAATCAGTACTCAAAAGAAAAATATGAAAATGTCACCATTCTCTAGTAGAGAAAGGTAATTCCAAAGTGAGTCAAACAAATATTCAAGAAAATGAAGGTGAATGTTTCTTCATTTTTATTTATAATGATACTATCCAGTATAGGATAGGTACTACTGAATGGTGATAGTCACAAAAATAAAAAACACTAAAACTTTTTTTTTTAATTACTAAAACTTTTTAAATATTRTAATCCAGGACATCTTAACCTAAGTTCCAAATCACAGGTGACAATCTGTATGTGTGAACATCATACACTTTTTTTCAAAATGAGGTCCTCAGCTTTCATCACAAAAGGACCCATGATTGAAAAGAGGTTAAGGCCATTATATAGTAAATGGACAGAAATAGAAATTGAAGTTCAGAGAAATGCAATTATTTGCCTAAGGTTAAAAAATCAGCAAATATCATTTTCCGGACTTAAGCCTTCTTTTCACTGACACATAAATACGTTTTAAAAGAATTTTTAATAAGCTTGAGAGAAAAGCAAATCTATATAACCTAAGAACAATAAGAGGAACTCACAAGCTAATGACAAAGAAAACAACAAGATAGAAAACCTTAGGCAGTGGAAGCAACCTAGATGCCCTTCAATAGACGAATGGATAAAAAAAATGTGGCATTTATACACAATGGAGTATTACTCAGCACTAAAAAATGACAAAATCATAGAATTTGGAGGGAAATGGATGGCATTAGAGCAGATTATGCTAAGTGAAGCTAGCCAATCCCTAAAAAACAAATGCCAAATGTCTTCTTTGATATAAGGAGAGTAACTAAGAACAGAGTAGRGATGAAGAGCATGAGAAGAAGATTAACATTAAACAGGGATGAGAGGTGGGAGGGAAAGGGAGAGAGAAGGGAAATTGCATGGAAATGGAAGGAGACCCTCAGGGTTATACAAAATTACATACAAGAGGAAGTGAGGGGTAAGGGAAAAATAATACAAGGGGGAGAAATGAATTACAGTAGAGGGGGTAGAGAGAGAAGAGGGGAGGGGAAGGGAGGGGAGGGGGGATAGTAGAGGATAGGAAAGGCAGCAGAATACAACAGACATGAGTATATCAATATGTAAAGCAATGGAAGTGTAACTGATGTGATTCTGTAATCTGTATAGGGGTAAAAATGGGAGTTCATAACCCACTTGAATCAAAGTGTGAAATATGATATATCAAGAACTATATAATGTTTTGAACAACCAACAATAAAAATTAAAAAAAAAAAAAGAAAACCTTAGGCAAAACGTGAGAACAATCCATCCAGTAGAACACAGGAGGAAAAACAGTTCTAGGAGGACTGTTCACAAGAAAGGGAAAAAAGAACTGAGAGAATACCTGAATGTGACTGACTACAACAAAAGAAGTTTGACAGTTTTATCAGAGATTTGAAGAATTCAAAAAACCAAGCCAAAAAAAAAGGTAGCAGACTGAATTTATTATCACAATACACTACAGGATACAGTTCTAAATGATACACACACAAACATAATAATGTAAACAGTGAACACTGATTTAACCAAACTTTTTAGTCATTGAGAGGATGGAGAAGATGGCGGCTTTTGGGGAAGTTTATTTTAAAAAGCTAAATCCTTATCATAAGATCAGAAATCAACAACTTAACACCTACTATGAAATGACCAAGAAAAGAAAAGGTAGGGATGTTTAAAATTATAACTACAATAAAAAAAAATCAATGTTATTCAACAGGACACTATTGCATTTTGCACAATTCTTTGTTACATGTGGCTGTCATAGAGCAGAAGTTAGCAACTTAGGAAATATAACTCTTTTGTCTGTTTCTGTAAATTAAGTTTTATGAGAATACAGCCATGTGATTCATTTTACACATTGTTTATGGCCGATTTTGTACTAAAAAGTAGAGTTGATTATTTGTAAACAGAGTGTTTACAAACTTCAAAACCTAAAACAGTTACTAGGTAGGCCTTCACAGAAAAAAGGTTACAGACCTTAATTCCAGGAACTGCATGACATTTAGTATCTGACTGCTAGCCACAAATGCTAATATTACCCTCAAAGTAACTATGAAAACCAAAATTCCATGCCCCATATTTGCAATCCTTCTCTTCTCAATCCCCTACTAGGAATGAGAAATGACAGGATTTTGGTTTGAGAAATACTGAGCTATCAGGAATTTCAAATGATTGCCATGGGGAACAGAAATCAGAGACCCGCAAGGATAGGGAAAGATACTATAGTATTGGGGCTTGTTATTTCTTTTTTTCCAATAAGCCTTGAAACAATAATCTTTCAAAGCATTCATGTGCATTTCTTCATGTAAACCAAATTTAAAAGCAAAAGAAAAAAAATAGAACAGATGAAATCTAGCTACTAGTTCTGGTAACTACCTACATATGTGAGGATATGAGGCCGGGGTTTTGGCTCAGTGGTAGAGCTCTTGACTAGCATGTGTGAGGCACTGGGTTAGATTCTCAGCACCGCATATAAATAAATAAAATAAAGGTCCACTGACAACTAAAAAATAWTTTTTAAAAAATGTGAAGATATTTGCTGGTATATTTTGTGATATTTGTTATGATTGCTCTAGAAAATATGCTGCTAGGTAAATGACTCTCGAATAAGCGAGGCATTACTGTGCTAACGTATGTGAGTATAATATTTCAAACCCTCCAAACCCAAGAAACGTCAGCCAGATAAGTATGTTCTATAAATGGCCTTCAGCAAAGTTTTAAATATTTAACATGAAAATCCAGATAGATAAAATGTTTTTAAAAACATTATTTCTGTAGGTAGAAATTAGGAAAGAGAAAAACTCAAAAGATAAATAAAAGAAAAAAATTAAAAATTTCACATTTATCTCTTTAGCAAACTGACTGACTGGAAATTTAAAAGCTGACATGACTAATACAGAACCACAAGGGCTGGATTAATCATACGTCAGAATCAATACTTTCAATTTATTGCTTATTTAAGTGAAAGCACTGATAACATATCCAAAGACATACTATATTCTTAGGTTTGTCTAATCTTTAAAATATTTTCATTACCACTTACTTTCAATTCAACTAAATTTAAAAATTGTCTAATTTCCTATACAGGGAAAAAGCTTTAAATGTATAATTATATTTTGCTAACAAAACTCTGAAATAATGCATTAAAAARACTTTAAGATGTGAAAACAAACATAATTCAAAAAACAGCATACATTTTAAGGAATATAAACACTCTAAGAGTAAAGAATCTACTGTTTCTACTACTGTATTTTCAAAAGAGCTCCATTTTTCTTTGGGACTTTATAAACAAAACATTACATTGATAAACTTATTTTGAAATATATAGAATGACACAGCATATTAAGTAATTATGAAAACTAATTCTGAAACATCAAAATAAACATTTCARTGCTTCAGTTTGGAAAATACAACCCTCAATGGCTTTTTTTACTGAAAAAAATCAGCTGTTGAACTATAATTTACAGTGAACACATACTGAAAACTAAACTCTTGACATAAAATAGTAATAAAATTATAATAGTTGTGCTATCCTAGCTTTCACCTGAAAAATATAAAAACAAGAGATATTTTAATATAATTCTAATTATATGCATAATCCTGGAGATTTGGTTTATACTGAATTCATAATAATTAGTTCTAGCTACTTTGATAATGTGGAGAAAAATATTTTTAGGCATCATCTAATTTATTTAGAAGTAAAATAAGCACAAGGACAAYCAAAATAATCTTCCCCTACCATTCAAAATCCTAACATCTATTTGGTCATTATTTTAGGTAATATCTGACATGAAATCTATATCATAAAATAAACATAAATTTTTGGAATGAAAACAATTAAAAGGTTAAAAGATTTGACTATCAACTTACCTTCTTTTGATACCAGACTATAGCATCTGTGACTTTGGACGCCATTTATTCCACTGAAATTACACATTCGTCATTTTAAGCTGTATAAGAGAGAAAAATATGCAAATGATTTTACTTCCACATTCCAAAAGAAGCCTGAACAACTTGCATACATAGCACTCTGGTTACTTGCAGAGCAAGGGGTGTATGACTATACTTATATTACACCCTTCCTCATTACTATTTTAGCAACAGCTTCTCTTAAGTAAACAAAAATCAGTTGTCATAATAAAAGATTCTTTTGCATGAATACAGTCTTCAATGTCCTTTAATAATAGGTTGAATTGGTTTTTAAGAAAAATAAACCTTTGAAATAAATTTCAGAATTTCCCAGTTTTACTGGAAATTCTTCATTCACAAATTCACCTATAATAGAAATCAATTCATTCACTCAGTAATAGATAAGTTTTACTATAGTTTCTTTCAAGGAACTAACAATTATTGTTGTTGAAGGATGGATTTATAAAGATGCCAATATTTATAATCATATTTAATTTTCCTTGATAATCAGTAATCACAGAATTGAACTAAAATTAAATTTTAAACCAAAAAAGTTTAAAATTTATGTTAAATACTATGCCAATATAGAGTTATTTATAAAGGAATAACAAACATTAAAGTTTTCCCAGATAACATGGTTTGCTATATTTAGAAATTTACCACAGAACAACTCAAAAGTATATTTCTTGTATTTTTCTAAAATAGTATTATGTAGTAAATGCAATAATTCCTTAACCTTTGAGGGAATTTCAAACTGATTCTAGTTATCTAGAATACTCCTCTAGTCATAAGATGACACTGGAATGTACAGCACCTCTTTTTATGATGTTAAGGACAAGCTAAAAACAGGTTCAAAAGAAGCAGATACTGGCCTAGCACTTATTGCAAAAGCTAAATCATCCAAAACCACACAAGCTCTCAGGGAAATCTAGGGAGTGAGGGACCCTGTTGAGCCCGTACAGATCTGCAACTATAGAAATGCTACTGTATAGTTTGCCACCGTATACCAAAATATCACAGATTTTATATACCATTCTTGGGACCATGTATGCTTCTTTAACATATTAGGATTCAAACATAATGAAAAGTATTATCAAATTCAGATGTCAGGCCAGGTTCTGTGCTACTTGCCAGTAATCCAGCTACTCCAGAGGAGGAGGTAGGAGGGTCTCATATTCAAGGCCAGCCTCAACAACTTTGGCAAGACCCTATCTCAAAATAAAAAGGGCTGAGTCTAACTCAGTTGTAGAGCACCCTCAATCCTCAGTACTTCCTACACATAGAAAAAAAGTTCAAATGTCAGATGATCAACACCTAAAATTTAAAGCAGAATTTACTTAATTCTTATATTTTTCTTACAAGTGTTATAGACCACATTATTTTATTACCTTTCCTAAGATATTAATTCTATCTTTAACAGATCGAATCTAAGCAAACTTAGAAAAAAAAAATCCAAGCCAAGCAAACCGTTTTGAAATTCCTGCCAAATACCCTGATATAATTGAAAGAAAAGGATCACAGAATCAAAAGACCAGGATTCAAGTATCAGGTCCATTATTCATTATCTAATACTGAAGAAGTCATTGAATCTCTCTGAACCTCAGTTTCTTTCACTTTCAAAATAGAAAAACATGTTCTTTACTTCTTATAAAGTTTTGTGAGCAATAAACAATATACATAAAATGCCTACCACAATCCAGAACATACAGATTACCCAATTGTAAGTATTTTTATAATTAGCTTTTGTATTTAAAAAATTCCCCAATCCATATAAATACTGGGAAGTATTTATATTTCTTTTTTAAAACATGGAAAATAACTGAGAGCAGGAATACACTGAATAATAAGTTTTTGTTGACACTGAAAATAAAAATAGCTCCCTCATTATCATAAGATCACAATGTCAATTCTCAAGGACATACACATGAATTATTTAGATTTCAAAGTTCACCTGTCTGAAGTTTCTTGGTTAGATGTAGCTACCTTCATTTCTCTCACCAGGATTTTTTAGGGAAGCTTTCCTTTACCGACTTAAAATCTCCCATTTTGGTTTTTCTCTTCTAGAAGGTTTTGAGATAACTCATTTAACCAATTTGATTCTGTTAAAGGATGGTTCATTACAATATTATTCATATCCTCATTACATTTGTCAAGACAATGGTGACCTCCTCCCCTGTGAGGATGGCCTTAGGCCTGAGCCTAAGCAACTCCATTTTAAAACACCAGTTTGAAACCAGCAGTCTCACCAGGCACACCTAATAGAGCCTCCAGTATGGCCCTCAGGCACAAACTAGGAAAAAGCAGGTATGAGAGAAAAGTGAAAAGATCCGGGTGGGGACCACCAGACCAGATGTTTTAACCCCAGGGTAGATGATGTCACTGAGAGCTCAGGTGGCAGCTGATAAAGATTGAAAGGGGGGGTCAAAAGCCCCAAAATTTAGTATAAATAATAAAGCAAATGAACAGACAGCCAGCCAGCTGACAAAGATGCCTTCACACTGAGAGCCTAATGAGGACCTGGACTGACATCCCAATACTTTTCATCAGTGCTGATCCTCTGCATTTTCCTCAATGCTCTCAAACTCTACAGCAATCTTGACCCTGGTGAAAGCCCCAACTTCTTCCTATAACCCTCTCCTCAACCAGCCTTCCAATCCACATCAGAAGAAGCCTGCCTTGGTTCTGGACCAGATCACTTGGGTCTGAGTGAGTGTGCAGCTGCTGGACTTAAAGCCTAAGGCTTAAGACTTTTGATCTGACACTTGAACTTAGCACACAGAGAATGTCTGTCATTAGCCTGTCATGATTAAGTGTGTTTGTAGTGCTTAGAATTAATCTAGAATTGTTTGTTGTGAATTGATTATATCTATTGCAGTGCCTAGCATTAAGGATTGTCGTTTTCTTGATTAAGAACCTATAGAGTGAAACTGTATTGAGTGATTTGAGTGAATAAAACATTGACTAGGGCAGAAGCTCATGAACATTTTTTATCTCTCCCCTCACCTGCAGATGTTGCACCTTTTGCCCATYGTGACATCCCCCCAAACTATAGTAAGTGGTACAAAAATATGAGAATATTTATTTATTTCCTTTCACTTTAGCCAATCTTTATTGAAAACAAATTTCCAGATTATCTACAAGGATAAAAATCCCCTCTCCTAATTCCCCAAGAATATAGAATACATTTCATATAAAAAATGTAAAAGGGTTTTTAATCACCCAATCTATTAAGTTTATGAGATATTATATATAGGGAATATTTAAAAGTTTCCATATGAACAATAGTATTAAAACAAAAAGGAAAATCTTCAAGAAAAATGAAAAAAAAATGCCTGCCTCAAAACAAGACAATTTTAAAGCCAATTTTTTAAAAATACATTTTGGTTTACACCAACTTATACTCAGAAATAAATTTCAAAGATCTAACAATATTTAGATATATAAAGTGTCCTGTATATTTTTAATTATATTTATGTGGATCTACAGAAACAAAAATTCAATTTTCCAATTTAAAAACCCCTTTCTTCAGTAATGAGGTGCTCTGAAAACTCATTTAATAGTTTTTCCATTGTGTCAACAACCTTTCAGTGACACCAAGTGGCTCATACCTATTTTTAAAACAGGTTTTACAGCATGCTAAGATAGATTTCTGAATCAGACATCTGACAAAACACACGCAGACACCTAAATTTCACAAGTAAACATTAAACAAAAATAAAAATAAATAATTTTACACGAGTATAAATAAGATTGATATACCAACAAATGCTTTTGTGGATATAAAGACTATTACTAAAGCCTTTCCAGTTTCTTTGATTCAATAACAGCACAGGAATATATAGTTTTATAGTCTCTATTGTCAGGATATGTTATGTTATACAATTTTTTTCATGTTAAATTATGACATTAAAGTTAATATACAGAGGGAAATGCAGCACAAAAAAGTTTTACTGAGGGCTGGGAATATAGTTAAGTTAGTAGAATCCTTGCCTTTCATGCACAAGGCCCTGGGTTCATTCCCCAGCACCATAAAAAAAAAAAAAAAAAAAAAAAAAAAAAAAAAAAAAAAAAAAAAGAAAAAAGAAAAAGAAAGAAAGAAAGAAAAAAGTTGTACTGGGTAGCTTGATACAGAATGTAATTTTTTTTTTTTTTTTTTTTTTTTTAGAACTCATCTGATCTAAGAATGTGTGTGTTACAATATGGAAATAATCCAACTCTAAAACCAAAGGGCTAACTGTACATATGATACTTAAATCTTGCTATAGAGAGTTACTTTGTGCAATTCTCTCCTTTATACTAATTTAATCATCATACCTATCAAAATATCTGGATTTACTCCTTACTATATAAATTTCCACAAAGAATGCACTTATGATGCCAAAGACCACATTGGAGGAAAAAAATGATTATTAAAAAATAATATGGGGCTGGGGTTGTGGCTCAGCGGTTGAGCGCTGGCTTAGCATGTGTGAGGCACTGGGTTCGATCCTCAGCACCACATAAAAATAAAATAAAGAATATTTWAAAAAAAAATAATATATGAAGTCTACCTTTCTAGACTCTATCAAATATAATAATGTCCAATGTCTCTGTACAGATGAAAAAAATTTGTCAGGTTTTTAATTATCCCTGATGTTATCAAAACTTAATCTATCATATACTATATAATCTTACAATGTACCTCCCTCATTCTGAAACAAATTTATTTGTTCCATGATGACTACCACTATCCTTACAAAACACTTTATTCCCACTCACTCCCATTATTCTCATTGTTCTTTTCTCTACTCATCCCACCTTACTTCTTCCAATATAAAGCTTCCTTAACAAGTACACAATGGAATAAAAACTGCTGCAGCCTGATGTCTCTCTTTTGGTATTTATCTAAACTAAAAAAAAAATTTTGATTTAACTAAAAATGCAAAACAACAACAACAACAACAAAAAACCAGCCACACAGGTCACTTGATCATATGTAAACACTTTTTTTTTTTTTTTTTTTTTGCAGTGCTGAGGCTCAAACCAGGGTCCTTAGACATGC